CGCCGCCCTCCTGACACACTCACCCTCCAGCTGTCACCCTCCTGACACACTCACCCTCCAGCTGTCACCCTCCTGACACACTCACCCTCCAGCTGCGCCGCCCTCCTGACACACTCACCCCCAGCTGTCACCCTCCTGACACTCTCACCCTCCAGATGCGCCGCCCTCCTGACACACTCACCCTCCAGCTATCACCCTCCTGACACACTCACCCTCCAGCTGCGCCGCCCTCCTGACACACACCCTCCAGCTGTCACCCTCCTGACACACTCACCCTCCAGCTGTCACCCTCCTGACACACTCACCCTCCAGCTGCGCCGCCCTCCTGACACACCCTCCAGCTGTCACCCTCCTGACACTCTCACCCTCCAGCTGTGCCACCCTCCTCTGAGCCCCTGGCTTGGCCTAGCTAAACCCACTGGGCTTTCAGGTGTGCCCTCAGCTGCCACTCCCTCAGTGCACATTTACCTGTGTCTGTGGGTCTGAATGCTCCCTCATGCTCCCCCCACTACAGATGCACTCCCTGTAGGCAGTGCCTAGTGTGCTTGCTCACTGCTGCCTCTTGGCACCCAGCACAGGCAGGCAGGAGAAATGAGCTGAGGTCTAACTGAGCATTAGGTAAAGGGTCTTCCAGGCGGTGGGCACGCACATGCAAAGGCCCGGGGGCCTAAAAAAGCAGGACGTATTTTTGTTACAGTGTAGCTTAGCATGGCTGAAAGGGAGCAGGCTGGGGAGGGTGGAGGTTGGGCCTGGCTCCCCTTGGTCAAGTTGAGCCCGCTAACAAAGGAGAACCAAATTCCCCACAGCCTTCCGACTTCACAGCCTCAGAAGCAGGGGCATCTCAGGCTGAGGGCGGTGGGGCCTCCAGGCGCTCCCGAGGTCTGAGGGGTGAACCTGTGAAAGTTGGAGTGCTGGGCAGGGGCTAGGAGCTCACCTGGCCACGTTCTTATGGACACTGGAGGTGCAGTTTAAGGCCGCGTGAATCAGTAGCTGGTTGAAGACATCTCTCTGAAATGTCAATTGGGCATGTGAGGCTCCTGTAACTCAGGAAGGGGGAGGTGAGCTCCTGCCTGTGGTGGGTTGCCTGCTCTCCATGGGGACAGTGGGGTTGATGCCGCACCCTTGTTGACAAACTTATAGCGTGGGAGCATAAGAGACACATTCACACTCACGTGTGGGCACCAACACCACAGGAGAGCGGCACCCAGACTCCCTGGCTCAGGCCCTGGGCGCCCTGGCTGGCAGCTGTTGGCTCACCTGGGCATTGCTGCCACCGAGCTGGACAATCCGGTAGCGGATGGGCAGGAGCAGCTCCAGGACACGGTCAGGGTTCCCGGCCTCAGTCTCCACCAGGGCCTGACACAGGGGCAGCCCCACATCTCGGGCTAGGAGGTGCTGGCAGTTCTCTCCTGGGGATCTGCAAACCCGAGACAGGGCCCTCAGCTGCCTGCCCACCACAGAACATCCGGGAGGGGCAGGGCCATTTCTTCCTCAGCGAGGTGTCCCTGGTCCACTGATGGGGTAAGGTGACAGGCAGGGCAGCCCATCTAGGGGACAGGAAAGGGCACTGAGCTCACACCTAGGTTGGAGTTCACCCATTTCCAGCTACCTGGTCCCCCACCTTCTGGCCTCAGTTTGCTCATCTGTGAAGCAGGCATAACAATGCCAGTCTAGGCCAGGTAGGTGACTCACACCTGTAAGCCCAGCACTTTGGGAGGTCGGGGCGGGCAGATCACGAGGTCAGATCGAGACCATCCTGGCTAATACAGTGAAAGTCTGTCTCTATTAAAAATAAAAAAAATTAGCTGGTCATGGTGGCATGTGCCTGTAATCTCAGCTACTTGGGAGGCTGAGGCAGGAGAATTGCTTGAATCCAGGAGGCTGAGGTTGCAGTGAGCTGAGATCACGCCACTGCACGACAGCCTGTGTGACAGAGCAAGACTCTGCCTCGAAAAAAAAAAAATGCCAGTGTAACAGAACTGTCAGGATTGCTGACAATACAGGCAAAAGCCTGGCACCGCAAGTCAAGGTGATCACCACCGCCAGAAAGGAATCAGCAAGGCAGCCCCGGTCTCCCAGGCCAGCCCTCACCAGCCCTTGGCAGGCACCATCCCTGATTTAGATGGGGAAACTGAGGCTCAGAGCAGAGAAGCACCTCGTCCAGGACCTCAGGGCTTGCCAGCAGCAGGTGTCTCTGGTTTCAGGGCTTCGCTGTGTCCTCTCCACAGGAGGCAGCCCTGTGACCCTGAGAACCTTATACCCACGCTGGGGAGGGAGGCAGCTGTGTGTCCTGGGGCAACCAGTTGTACAGCTGTGGGCCACACACCTGCGGGTGCACATGCCTCAGGGGTCCACACTGGGGACACACATCTACAGGGGTACACACCTGGAGCAGCCTCCATGGGCATCCCCTAAGCTGTACTCACAGGTGGGGCAGGCACTGAGCAGGTCTCGGCATGGCCCTAGCACCCGGTTACCCTCTCAGCAGGGTGGGGACCTCCACCCCAAGAAGGTCCCCTCTGTATACTCGCTGGCATCCCGCAGGGTGGTCAGCAGCTCCTGTGTGGTCTGGGTGTCGTGTGCACCCAGGGAGGCCATCAGGAAGTGTGCGTCGTTGAACAGCAGGACGTGGTCTCGGCTGTGCTTCTGGGTCACAGGGAGGACATCCTGCCACCGCTGGCCCAAAGACACCCCTGAGGACACGGGAAGGAGACCCAGGGCCTGGTGTGAGGCTCTGGGCCATGTCCTGTACATGGGCCTCCTTCACAGCGATTCCTCTGGAGGCCCTATGACACTGTCCCAGATGAGAGGGTGGGGAGGTGGGCAGGGCCATGGGCAGCGTCTGGCCTTGTGCGCAGGCCTGTGTTAGGACTGTCTAATCGTAGAAGTCACAGATGCGTAAGTAGGAAGCACATTTTTAAAAGTGTCAAATGTTATTAAACAAAGCCTCTGGCTGCTTTGACAAACCCCAGGCGTCTTGGATCCTCCAGCTTCCCAGTGGATCCCCGGCCTCCCCATAGATCCCCTGACCTCCCCGCAGATCCCCCGGCCTCCCTGTGATCCACCAACCTCTCCACGGATCCCCCAATGTCCCCACAGATCCCCTGGTCTCCCTGAGATCCCCTGGCCTCCCCACAGCTCCCGGCCTCCCCAAGGCTGCCCCGACCTCCCCACACATCCCCCAGCCTCCCCAAGGATGCCCCGACCTCTCCAGATGTCCCCCGGCCTCCCCACACATCCCCGGCCTCCCCACACATCCCCCGGCCTCCCCACGGATGCCCCAACCTCCCCACACATCTCCCAGCCTCCTCACTTTTCTCTGGGTCTCCAGCCTCAGCCTGCTCTTCCCACAGGTGGGCTCCCTGGCTCCTACACCCCTCAGCCTGCTCTTGCCCCATCTGGCCACGTCGAGCCCTGTGGCCACTCGTCCTGCAGCAGGCTGCTCGCTTCTGCGTCCTCGTGGCTTTAGATGGGCTGCTCTCTCTGAACGTAACTCTTTCCTTGTCTCTGCCTAGCAAACCCCACACACCCTTCTGTGGCTCACATTTCACCTCCATTAGGAAGTCTTCCGGAATCTCTAAAAAGAGCCTGCCATACCCTCCCTCAGGTCCCCGAATTGCTCAGCCTAGGCCTGCACCCCTACTGTACTGCTGACCTAGGGCCTAGCCCAGGCCCTTGTGGTTCCAGGATGGCTCTGCTGAGCCTGAGGTGAGAGGAGAACCATCTGGTACCCCAGTGGTTGGCTGGAGCCCTTGATAACCCCCAGAGCTGTGGCTGGTCCCTCCAGGCTACCTGCAGAGCACGACAAGATTGAGAAACCTGTCTACAATCCCAGGGAGTTGAGAAACTCTCCCATGTTCTAGAAAGGAGGTGGCATTGAGATAGGTGGCCAGGTGCCACCAGTGCCCCAAAGGCTTGGCAGGCCAGCCGTGGGAACAGCACAGCAGGTGCCACCCTGGGTGCAGAGCTGGAGGCTTCCACACCAAGGGGTGGTGGGAACTGGAAGAAAGGAGTGTGGCCTGGGCCCTCCCCCAGCTGCACAGCAGTACCCAAGGCAGCGGCCAGGCGTGCCCGTCCCAAGGTCTGCAGAGAGGCCTAGAGCAGCTGACCCATGAGCTCCTACCCAGCCCCCCGACCAGGCCACAGCACCCTCTCCTCATGATGTGGGAGGAAGAGGCAGAAGCCAGCGGGGCTGCGGGGTTGCTACCTTCCATCTGCAGGCGGTAGAGCATGGAGCAGCTGTCCACCATGTCCAGCATTCCACCGCCGGCCTGCAGGCTGGGAAGGATCTGGAAGACAGGGCGGCCAAGGCGGGCTCAGCAGGTGGGCTGGATGAGGGGTCTGCAGGGCCAGCTGGGGGCCAGCCTATCTGGGCACGGTGGGCCTGCATAGAGCAAGCCCTCTGCCACTGTCCCCACCACCTCAACTAACAGGCCCATCACCTTCGACTGGGATGCAAACTACTCCAAGCACTAGAGGGGTCACCAGGTGGGCCTGAAGAAGGAGCCTACTGCATTGCAGGCCCAGGGCCCGTGCCAGGCCCAGGCATCTGTCACCTCCCACCCCCAGGCCTCAGACCACACTGGTAGGAGGGTTGTCTGCCCGATCACGTCTCTAGACTCAGCTTTGCTGAGCGGGCC